CAAGCGTAAAGAAAAACAGATAGTTTTTGCACTTTCAAAGGAATATCTTTGTATTGACTTTGAGTAATTATTTTGTATAATGAGACGAACATTCTAGTAAGAGAATGTCGTCGTAAAAAATGAAAATTTTGATACAAAGAAAAGATAGCTATGTGCAATAATCTCATGGGGGTCCCATTCTGCTATAGCCTTCGTATCTCCGAGCATCTTGTCTATTTGTTGCCTCGTCCGAAGATGATTGAATTGATCAGAACCTCTGAGTTTGTTAGTTAAAGAAGATAAGTAGCAAGATAAACTTGTTTCATGTATGGTGAGGGCTTATGCTTTCTTGGGTGGCTTTTATTGGCAAGATGTTGTGGTCTTATGCCCTGTTTCTGCCCTATATGACATTATGTTGCGGGTTTATGCCCTTTTGGTACCACATGCATTGAATTAACGTCGGTTGCATTGCATTGCACTATCTTGATTTGATGTGGTGTTAAGTGAATCATGAATATGTTGCGAAGTATTTGAGTAAAATATGAGTTATTTGAATTGTGTGATATTACTACTCCTTAACATGTGATATTCACCGTTATTTATTGAATGTAATTCTCACCCATTTTCTGTTGTTGTGTTTGTGCTCCTCTGGAGTTACAGATAATCAGTTACTTGAGTAGTGCTTGGAGTATGAGTTTCCCGATCGAGTCTTAGAAGTCGCTCTGATACGTAACACAGGATATTATGAGAATTTTTTTATGTTTTGTAGTTGTCGTATTTGTTACGTATCTTAACTTCAAATTTATGTTGAAGCACGAGTTTTATGGAGAATGTTATTATTTAAGCTGTAGTGCGATTGGAATGAATAATTGGATACTTTTGCTGTGTAAATAATTCTTTTATGAGGAATGAAGTAAAAAAATAATTTTAAATTTTATGAGTTTTTAAAAGATGTGACATCCTACTTGTGTACTGTATTCTGATGTATTTTCGTATATTATATTATAATTATATTTGTGGGGGAAGTGGAGTGTTATAGAGTCCGTAATCTTTTATATATTATTATCAAATTAATTTTTATTTAATATAATTAAATATAACAATAATAAACATATATAAAATATTTTAAATATATATATGTAAAATTAAAGATAAGATCAAAATGCATTCAACTCATACATGTAAATTTTGACGGCAAACAACATACGACGAAGTAGGAGAAGACAACAATATCAAGCAAGAGATAAATTGGCGGAGAATAATAATGGAGGAAGGTGGAGTCAAAATGACGAACAAGAGAATAAAGGAAGCATTGCAATAAAATATTTAAGATTTTTTTTAAATACAAAATTTAGGCTCTATTTTGATAAGATATGTTTTGAGCTTATAGCTTATAAGTTTATATGACGATAAAAATCTATTCAGTAACAATCTTTTCATCATAAATTTATAATTTATTTGATTAGCTTAAAGTTTATTTTCAGACGCTAATTCAAATAGTGTTTTACTTTATAATTTACGGTTTATTATTTTTTTCTTTTTTCTTTATCCTTATTATTTTAAATAAAACTCACTATTATACTTTATAATTTATTTTGATTTAAAATAAAACTATTATATATTAAGTATTTTTTATGTAATTTTAATTTATCAAGTAATTGATCCGTTAATTTTATCAAATACTTCAATTAATTTATCAACTATAAGTTAGCAACCATCATCTACAAACTATAAACAATCAATTATCAATTATTAGTCATAAGCTATAAACTACAACTAACTTATCAAACAACCACTATTTTTTATCAAACAAAATATTAACTATTTTTTTATACTTGCAATTAAAAAATTAATTAATTTTAAATTATAATAAACTACAAAAGAGAATCAATGAGTTTTAAAGTAGGAATGAACAACAATAGAGAATGAAGTTGGAATCAACGAAAAAAGAGAATAGAGAAAGATGAAATAGAAATGACCAAAAAAAAAAAGAATGAAGACAAACTGTAATAAAAATTCATATTTAAGACATAAATTTTGACTTTTTTATTCATGTATTTAAAATATGATTATTTTATTTTTAATTATAAAAGATAAAAATGAGTTTTCAGTAAAATAATAAGAAAAAAAAAAGAAGAATAAAAGATAGTTAAAAGTTATAAGTTCAAAAACTAATTTAAATAGCTTTTGAAAACAAATATATACTCGTAAAAAAATTATAAATTGTTACTAAAAAATAGTTATAAAACAATATTTTTTAATAACGTAAGCTGAAAAGGTAAAAATTAGACTTTTGATCTTATCAAATAGGCTTATCAAATAGGTCTCGCCAATCCTCAAATCACTTAGGTCTACCTAACTTCCTCACCGACCTCAAATGATCAAGACATAACATAGGCAGACCTCACCGAAAATCCTCTAGAAGGAACCAAAATCTACTCCTAGATATCTACCTGATCTTTCTTAACTAACCCAACAAGAGAACTAAATAACTCCACCGAAAGCTCTTCGTCCCAAACAATAAGGAAACATTCTCCACCTAAAATTCCAAACACAACTTTCCTACCTAGATCCTCATCAGTCCTACAATTAGAGACTTTTGCTCAGGGATGAGAAACAATCTCTCAAAAGAAACACTCACCAGGGACTGCCCCACCCAAACATCATTCTAGAAATTTCCATTCAAACCATCTTCTACAATTTTGGAGCATGAAAAGGAAAACCAATCAGACTGTTGATCTGAAAAGGAACCAAGAAGAGAGATTCCTCTCAACCATATGGAAGCCTTCATAAGACCGAACGTTCTACCACTTACAGAAAAACCACACATTTGAGCATCATATCTAGACAAAACAATATTCTTCCACATAAATTGCCTAACCCCAAGAATCCTCCACCTGCACTTGCTAAGGAACGCTAAACTCACAAGTCGAAGATCCTTAACCCCTAAATCACCAACGTTGTTAGCACACATTCCCTCATTTCACCCACGCAGTCTTAGACCCTCCTTTCAAACCATTCAAAAGAAATCTTCTTTACAACCCAACTAACTTCTTTCCGTCTTTAACATGCATCTTCAAGAAAGAAAGGTAGAAAATAGAAATCCAATTCAAAACTAATCTCAAAAGGACAACCCTCTTCTTATTGAGACTCATTAACCTACTCCTTCAAGAAGTAAGTCTCATGCATACAATCTTCACCAGAGGGTCCCATATACCTTCCTTCTAAAATTATCTCTCATCGGATCCCAAAACACTTAAAAGAAAGTCTAGTAAAAAAAAGTTAAAAGCTCGTATTAAAAAATTGTTACCCGACCAAATTTTTACTAGTGACTTAAAAAGTTAAAATTTAGTTTATTGATATTGCCAAACTGAAACATTGAATTACTATCAACAAGCAGCAACTACAAATAAATATTCACTTCAAATCAATTATATGCAAAATTTCATACTTCAAACTCTACATTAACTAGATTAAGACCCACGCGATGTACGGTTATTAATTATTTTTTAATATTTTGTATTGAATTTTATTATTTTAAGACTTTTTCTTCATAAATGTGATCAATAAATTATATTTAATAATTTATTATGAATTATAATTGAGACTATAATGAATACATCGATTTGGCCAATAGAGAGTGTTGAAACTTTATGTTCTCTCTCTTTTCTCCTTCTTCAACCTAGCTGTCACCTTTTCTTTCTCCCCCCAAATTCATACTTTCGGTGTCACCATGTAATATTTCTTCTTGGTGGTGTGATAAGTTCCTTCTCCCGCACCACCCTTTTGCTAAGTTGAATTTTCTTTATTTATCCTTATTGATTTTATTTTTATTTAATCTACTTGTATTTTATTTATAAAAAAACCGAGACTACAATTTAGAATGATATTTACAATTTTAAAAATATAGTGATTGAATGAATTCACACATCTCTTTTAAAATTGGGTGAATATACTTAATTAGAGTGATTATTGTGTTAGAATTTTAGCTCAAAACGAGTCTTGAATGTATCTTTTTCAATTTATTTCTTAGAATAAGGATGAATTGTTGTAAAAGATTAAATCTCGAACATGTTATTGATATATAAGAAAATGATATACATATTTATTATATTTGAGTTTTTGCAAAGTAGTTTTAAAATCAATAAAACTAACAATGAACTTGTTATAAGAATATTATTTATTGTAAATAGTACGATGAAAAATTACTATAACATTTAATTTTTTTAAATAGAAAGAATCTAAAATTATTTTAGAGATATTATATTGAAAAAATATATAAAAATTTGTGATAAAAAATAATTGGAAGAAAAATAAAAATATTATTTTTTAAGTCTTAAGAAAATATGTGAGTAATTGTTAGATTAATATGTTTTTGAAATTTTTAGAATTCGAACCCGTGACTTCAAATATAGTTTCAACATGTGATTTTAACTTTTAAAAAATGAAGATGAATTTTGAGAAATGCCACATTATAATATAAATGAGTGGCGTAAATTGAGATGAAATGGTACAAATTGAGATGAAGTATCGTTGTAATATTTGATGCATTAATTTTAATAGACATAAATAGATATATAAATATTAGGTAATTATATATGATTATCTTTTTTGAATATAATTAAAAAGATATTATATTTCTCCAGTTAACTATATTAATAATTTGTTCCATAATCAAGATAAGAGGGAGTATGATTAATATAATAGTAATTAATAACATATAGAATGTTTATAATAGTATAACGGTTTAATACCATATAGAGTGTTTATAGAATGTGTTTAATTACCAACTTGCAAGGTTTCACATATTTCATCTTTGAATTAAATTAACCGTAAATTTGCACAATACTGCTTCCTTCACATAAAATAAAAAATACACATAAGAAATAGAATATATTGGGATTCCAAATGGTGCTTCCCTTTGGGAAGATTGACAATATAAGACAAACAAAAAAGGACAAATTTAAAATATTGCTTAATTTAAGAAAAATAAATCAATGAAGATAATTACATCAACCAAACTAATTACCTTGCCATGGTTTTTGAGTTTGGTTTGGTTGATTATGGGAATTTGAAGAGTCCATGCAGTTTCCCATACCAGTAATACTGAGAATATCACTATCAGATAAAGGTCTTAAACCCAAGAAATCTCTTGTAAATGCATCATTTCCTCCGGCGACGGTAACGGCGCCACGGTCATCCATGGTGGTTGTTGTTCCATGAAAGCCAGAAGAAGAGAAAGAGTTGTTAATCATTTGGTTTTCACATGAGGACAAATTCAAACCAAAATGACCATTTGAGTTTAACATGTTGCTGTTGGTGGAAGAGTCATCAAGAGACACGTGACCGTGTTGGTGGGTCCCACTTATCATGATCATGGATTGTTGTTGGGATGAGCTGGTTGAACCCATCTGAGCTGCTTTCTGTAACAATGCTGTAGCTGACATGTGAGGTGAAACTGCAGAAGATGGTTGGTAGGATGGAAGTGTAGTAGGACCATTTCTAGGGTTAGGGTTTTCATGAAGGTTTAGATCTTGTTCTAATTCAAGCCATGATGGTGTTTGAATTTCTGGCTTTAGAAAACTGAAATTTTGATGCTCTTTCTTTAATGTGAAACCTTGTATTTCTTGAGTTTGGTGATTGATCATGTTGTGAGAGCTTGGTTGATGAATTACAGCTCTTGAACTCTCTTCTGCTAATGCATCACAGAAGGCTCTGTGAGTTATGAAACTGTCCCTCCTAAAAATATCATATAGAAACAAAAATTATCAACGCGGCAATATCATGTCTAATGTTCACACAAAAGTGTCGTGTGTCTGGTGTTTGTATCGTGTTCGTATCTATGCTTCATAGTTCAGTATATTAATATCAATATAAAACAAAAACTTATCAACGTTGTGTCTGGTATTCGTGTATGGTGTTTGTCTCTATATATGCTTCATAGTTCAGTATATTAATATCTGATATAAAACCAAAACTTATCGACGTGTCGATGTTAGTGCTGTGTCTGGTGTTCGTGTCTCTGGTCGATAATTCATTAGATTGATATCAACTTGATAAAGAATGTGGTAATTATTTTTCTAATGATATAGTTTAGGTTAGTTTATATAACATTTAAGCTACCTTGTGAAGAGGGTTCCACAGTCACATCTATATTCCCTTGTACCACAGGTTTTGGAGTGAGCTTTCCAATCTGATTGAACAGCATACTTCTTAGAGCACTTATCACATTTCCACTTTTTCTCACCGTGCTTTCTGCAAAAGTGCTTTTTTATACCAGTTAAATCCCCTAAGGCTCTTGATGGTTCATGGTGCACACAAGTTGGTTCTGGACATACATATACTTTCTTCCTTATCATCTCATTCCCCGTTCTTTGCTTCAACTTCCATGGTAAATTGTGTCCTCTTTTATGAAGTTGAAGATTCTGATCTCTTTGAAATCCTTTGTTGCAGATCTCACATATGAATCTATTTGTCGCCATAAGTGTCTTCGGTGATAAAGCTATAACTTCAGCTTCCAGGTCTAAAATGAATATTATCAAATCAAATAAAAAAATCTAACAAACACAATTACAATTACGGCCGCAATATTATGGTTCGTAGCGTAACCATAATCGCGGCCGAAAACAAAAGATGCTAGAAATTAAGATAATAATTAAACCTGGCTTGCCAGGAGGGTTTCTCCTTTTCTTCGCCGGAGTCTCGTCATGAGTTTGAGTTTGTGAAGGAGAAAAATATTGTTGAGGATAACTGGTAGTAGCACTAGCTTCACCAGATGCAGAAGTCAAATTAGACATGTTTTCCTCAACAATCAAAACCTTGGATCATGTTTTTTTCTCTTATGTTTCAAGTCTCTTGAGTTCTAATAACATGTTCATGTTTCATGGATCTGTTTATGCTTTTTCTGGGATCTGCAAACAAGTCTTACCCAAAACAGAAAAGGAGTAAAAAAGTGAACTTTAACACAGACATAACTATTAGGTAGTGACAGAATGAACAGAATAAATTAAAGAAAGCAAAACTGATATGAAACTCATGAATAGTCTTTGAAATAATTGTTCCAGCAAATAAAACAAAGATGAAAAACACAAGAGAGAGAGAGAGATGAAGAGGATTCTTGATGTGTTTGAGTATGTCCAAAAGAACAATAGTGGAAACCAGAAAGGCAAAAGGAACCCTACGGTTTAAGACTGACGTTGGTGTTTTTGTCTTTTTTCTCTATTCTCTTTCTTAACATCAAGAATAAATGTTTCTTTTTCTATTGTATTTTTTTTGCTTTTATGGTGATAACTCAAATTTTTGGTTATTATAAACTTTTGTTTAGAATACACATAGTTTTTCTTTCCTTTATGTTGTAAAGTAGTAAACAGAAAAAAGGGAAGAAAAATCAGACATGTAAAAAGAAGGTATCATTTGTGTATGCAGATAGATAGATATGTAGATCCATAGGTATATTGAAAGAGAGAATCATAGGTTTACTTTATGTATTATTAGTACTTATTATTTAACATCATGATTTATAGTAACATGATTGATCCATTGATTAACCTATGATTTAATTCTTTCTTACTCTTCTTCATCATCATTATGGAGTAGTAATTATTTTCCATGCTTCATTCATTTTGTTATCATTGTTGCTATTGACTAGTACTAAAGAAATGGTTGAATTTTGACATTTTTGCATGGTTGCATTACGTTACATGAATTAAAGGCTTAACACTGCACTTTGTTATTTTATTATGGATCTAAACTTGGCTACTTAGCCCACATATGTTCTCTTTCTATCTCTCCCACCATCGCTCCACAGGGTATTTTCTTTTATATGTAAGACCTTGTTTAATATTTTGAATTTTTTTTTTGTATTTCTTTCTTAGGCTTGTATATTTTTTTTAAGGTTTAGTTAGGTATTCAAGACTCTAGACTTTGTCAAAAATAAAGTAGAATTAAAAATTAAATTTTATAATCACATTCTTTATTTGTAGTGTATTTTAAAGAAAACGAGAATGATGAAACCACAAGTTAAGGGACTCCCACGTATCCCACCCGTGAAGAGAAGAATCATGCATTAACAATGTAAATAGTTGAATGAGACAATATTTTCTATAAGCCACGATGCTATGATAAGTATGATAGTATCTTCTATAAATGTCACACTATGTAAATTTCAACACATATTCAATCAACCAATCAAGTTATTTATGCATTTTATCGTCTTTATCTTTATTATTATTTTTATGTATTTTTTTATTAGTTCAACGTCTAACCGTCTATACTTAACATTCTTTGGATTGGTTAAAGAATCCATAATTTAGAGATAAAGTTTCTCTTTCAGCGTAATCGCTTGAAGAAAAAAAGAAATAATTATTGAGAGTTATTAGTTGATTATTGGCTAACTTCACAGTTCGACAACAAATTTGACACACCTGATAAGATACTACAACCAATATCACTAGAAATTTTCAATCACCTAGTTACGACTACGCTTGGCGTATGGAAATACATGTCGTATAAAACCACATCAATATGGACAACCATCACCATCATCCATAAAAAAGTCAGATTAACATACCTATATGAGCCTTCACATCCAGTGGGCATGCCAATAACTAGGCCTCTCCCACTGTTTCTAGAGAGAAGGTTGTTCCACCTAAGAAATCAATGATAACAGTTAAATCTTTCATCAGACAACAACTAAATATGGGGATACATGACATCATGTATCAATTATTTCAAAAATTTGTTGACATTGTGCGATCTATGGTTTATATTGACACTACTACAAAAAACACATCTTATCTCGGACGCAAAATGAATTTTATCTCGGTTACACAAGCGAGGTAATAAAGGGTGACATGAAAATGTGCCACTTTACCCGTCAATTTTTTAATAATCGAGGGGATAGTTGAAATTACCTTGGGTTCATCCTCAGAGAGATCCTTTTTAAAATTTTCAAATGGCGAAAAAATATATCCCCTCGATTTTGAAATCTAAACGACGAGTAAAACAAGTTTGAGTTTATTATATCTAATGTGGATTGCTTGTATCATTTAGCTATAACTGAACGTATAACTTTTCAAATTGGTTTACAAAATAATTATATCAACACTTATATTTGAAGAACACATTATGCTAATTAATGATTTTCAAACATCATGTAGCTCATCATTCATCTCTTGTTCTTTAATGGTTAAAATCTCTCTAATGCTTCTAGTTTTTGTTCAACTTTCTTCCATACTTGTTCATTCAACAAGTGTGGAAGAAAGTTGAACAAAAACTAGAAGTATTAGAGAGATTTTAACCATTAAAGAACGTGAGATGAATGATGAGTTGTAAAATGCTCGAAAATTTTTAATTAGTGTAAGATGTTTTTCGAACACAACATAATTTTTCATATTATTATTTTCGAAAATAATTTAATAGGTTATATGTTCAAAGAGAGGTTAGTGAAATGAACAATCAACATTAGATATAATAAACTAAACTGTATTTTTCGGTCACTATAATGTCCTCTTAACATGTTCAGACGAACAAGATGAGAGCTACACAAAGAATCACAAAAAATATAATCTTAGTTTCAAAGTCAAACTCAATAACAACAACTAAACCCTAAATATATAGATTTCAAAACTTTGCTAAGTATAAGAACTAGACAACAACTACAATAACATCAACAACAACAAAAAACCATAAGTATCAACAACATTAACATTACCTAAATCTAAACAATAACTAAATTTAAATAACAACTGAAATTCTATCACGTACAATATCAAAAGTCAAGACAAATGTCTCAACAACACACAATGTCATAACATATATTATGACATCTGCTGACAGAACAACCACAAGATAGCAACAAAGCAGAATTATAACTTGCAGAAAGTAAAAGAACATGCAGAATTGTTAACCCAGTTCGGTGCAAACTCACTTACTCTGGAGGCTACCAAGCCAGGAAGAAAATATACTATCAGTAGTATTAATTCAGAGCTAAATAATATCATTTTATTCCCCTCACTTAATCCCTATCCAGTGCAACTTCTGCCTAGGCACCTCCTAGATATGAGAACCCCTCTAACTTCCAATCATCGCAATGATATAAAAAAATCCAAGTCCCAGGAAATTTCTCAAGAAACTAAAATGGAAGAACACACACTTCCAAATTACAAAGTACTTAGTTTGTTTAAAAGCTTCACTAAGAACAATACTCAACTCTTGCTTAAAAGCTTCGAGGAGAACAATAACTTGATGAATAAGTAACAATCAGTCAACTCAAATGCATCAAAAGATACATGAGGACATACAAAGAAAACATAAACTCCCTTGAAGAACCCTCAGACCCGAAGACTGAGAAAATACAACTTCCCCTTATTTTCTAAAGTTATTGAAGATATTAGGTCTATGTAGTTTCTTTAAATACTTCTCAGCCATCCTTGGGTCTTGCATTTGTGCCCAAATATTCCTTATTGTCCATGCTAAGGGCTGCACTAATCTGTGTAGTAAAATCTTCTTGAATCTTGGAACAAAAATACAAGGTTTCCTAATTTGTCTCAATCAACCAATTATAGAAACCTGTGTACAGTTGGAGATAAATTATTGTTCCAGATTTTAATATCCTCGACCTGTGAAAAATCAGTGAGATAAAACCAAAAGGAATCTCACATAATCAATTTAAATCTGTCAAGAATATGCCAAACAACAACACTTGATGTACCAGACCAAGATGCCATGACACTGTCTTCGACACCTGGCTGACAAACACATAACAGTAAACCTTCTATGTCAAACCATATTTTTCCAAAATTTAGCCAATCAAAAACCATGATATTAACAATCTCCCCCTTTAGCAAATTTTAGCTAAAATACTCTTAGCACAAAAGATCCAGGAGAGAGGAATAAGACCACAACAAACAAGCTACATCACAAATATATATATATATATATATATATATATATATATATATATATATATATATATATATATATATATATATATATATATATATATATATATATATATATATATATATATATATATATATATATATATATATATATATATATATATATATATATATATATATATATATATATATATATATATATATATATATATATATATATATATATATATATATATATATATATATATATATATATATATATATATATATATATATATATATATATATATATATATATATATATATATATATATATATATATATATATATATATATATATATATATATATATATATATATATATATATATATATATATATATATATATATCAGAGTTATAACAGCTACACATATAAACATGTTAGCACTCCCCCTGTCACACATAATAGGTTCTCCGCCTCAAGGAGAAAACCACACCAGAAGAGAAATTCAAGTGATTCTTAACACACACCAGACATGATGTTGGAACATCTGTTAAGACATCCTCATCCTGCATAAACTGGCTACATTGGTAGCAGTAGCAGAAACACACACACACACTCACACACACACACACACACACACTAAGGCAACAGTATGAAACATCACGCTCCTCCTAAATAGTTGCATTAGTGAAGAAACCACAAATAACACAACACTTTACTCCCCTTTTTTAGCCAAAATATTGACAAAAAGAGAATATAGTAAATGGTCAGATTGCAAGAGCACATATTGCACACAAACAATGAAAGCACAAATAAGAGCACAAGTGGAAACAAACATAAACACATGTACAGTCAAAGGAAACACTCAACCAAAGATGGAAACAAATAAAACTAGGTGGAAGCACACATGTA